ATAGAATGCAGGTTCTACTTTATATAAAGTCTTCTTATTTCTACTCAATATGGGGTTGGGATAATCGGATTTGAGTAGCATGTAGTGTCGCCGGATACTCGCTCTCGTTTTCTGACTAGGTAAACTCGTAATAGTTCAGGCATATCAAGTTGATGTGTTTACGTGCAGGCGTAAAACTCTCCTCTATATATCAACCGTCTTTTGCATTTAGAGTTATAGAGATCATTGATTTAAGCACTGAAATCATCAATCACTGATGATCTACATAACTCTAACGGAAACATTGTACAATGTACTCACTGGTGACCGAATTCGTGAGGAAATTTTCCAAGACCTAGTGGTAAAACATAACCAGTGGAGGTCAATCCTATTGGGTGTAGGCAGCAACTACCGAAGACAAATAGGTGAGGTCACACAAAATCCGTAGACTATTCAGAGTTAAACATTAAGAGCGTTGGATGCCGGCTTAGTGGTTCAGAATTCAAGCGTTCGCACTGAAGACCGAGGTTCCTGGATTAGAATCCAACCAGCAGCAGGAGTCGTGGATGTGCACTGCCACTGATGAATCCTATAACAGGACGAAATGACCATTCAGTACTCCCTGGTTTTAATTGGTGAACTAACAATGATTAATTCATGATTTCAACGTGCAGAAACAAATTAACTTTGACAGGACAATGAGAATACGTAATTGATTTGAAAAATATAGTGTAACTGCGCTATACATTTCGAGCAATCTGGTCACATATATATAGAAATCAAACTGATTCTGTTGTAACCTTCAATAGTTTCTAAGTCAGAGTTTTGGAGATTTGTGTTTTTACACATTTGAAATCATCATTCAATCATTGTTAGACCACCACTAGAAACCTAGAAGCACTGGTCCGATGGTTTGGCGTTCGCACACAATACCGAAGGTCCCGGGTTCGAATCCTGTGAGGTGCAGGAGTCGTAGATGATGAGTCCCATACCAGGATGAAACGGCCCTCCAGTGCTTCCAGGTTTCTAATGATGGTCTAACAATGACTGATTGATGATTTCAAATGCGTAATGGTTTTTAAGCCATTTTATGGCCTTAGGTAATGTGACAATGCCCTGACCTTTTTTATTATTTCTATACTACGTTAATTTTCTCTCTTGCCTTCATTTATAATGATCAACTTACGTGTACTATTTGAATTTTTATTGAGTTAACCTTTTAATAATTTTCATCGTTTAATTGACTTGTTAAGTGCATCTGTGTGTGACCAGATTGTACATTACAACCTTTTTTCAGATCACTTTCATCTTCCACACACCATTGATCTTAGCTCAAACAGATGAGAAGCAATCAGATCAATCACCTCTTCTCATTATCCTAACAAAATATGAATGATGAATTCTTATCAATAATAGTCAAATATCATTTCACACTTCACACTATCGATCGATCATCAGATGTACAGTACCAGATTTCATATTTGTTTGTTCATGTATTCAACTTTATGATTACAATTCATTGAGTAAAAAAACGTTTTTTATGAAATAATTTTTCTCTGTCGACAACACATGAATACTATTCAAAAAAGGGGGAATTAGAATTTTCTCTTGCCTTTATGTTTTTTACAAAGTCAATTTCACATTGAGAATAAATAAAGTTTACATTACGGGGTTGTGTAGATTCAAAACAGTGGTTCCCTTTGATAAATTTGAATAGAGAAATAAGAAGACATATTTTGTAATATAACATTGATCGATTCATGGTTTCGAAAATGTGTAACTTAACAATCTTCACAACCACGTAATGCAAATCACCTGCGCTCACTAGTGACTAGCTTCATGAGGAATCTTCTCCGAGTTCTAGTGGGAAGATATGACCAGTGAAGTTCAACCTTTTCGAGTGTAGACAGTAACTACCGAAGACCGTGTATGAGGTTGCGCAAGACAGTAAACTGATCAAGTTAGACATTAACACAGTTAGGTACCGGCTCCTACAATACCGAAGATCGTGGGTTCGAATCCTGTGGGGTGCAGGAGTCGTGTATGCGCACTGCTGAGGGGTCCCATACCAGGACAAAACGGCCGCGTATCAGTACTTCGATGTTTCTAATGGTGATCTAACATTGATATATTCATGGTTTCAAAAATGTGTAATCAATAAAGTATCCGGTATTTAACTTGGATAAAATTAGTATGAAAATTCTTTTTTTTTAAATTGACCTCAATCTATTTTAGGCTTATTTATTCAGATTTGAAATTTGCAATACTATATTTGTATTTCAACTTATATTGGTGTGTCATTGATTGAAAGATGTTAATCACTTTTCAGTATATGGTTGTGAAGATAGATTAAACCTATTGATATCGGCTCAATGGTTTAGAGTTTAGGTGTTCGAGTGCAACACTGAAGATCCTGAGTGGATGTACACTGCTGATGAGTCCCATACCAGAAGGAAATGGCCGTGCAGTGCTTCTAGGTTTCAAATGATAGTCTAACATTGAATGATTCATGATTTCAAAAAGTATTACGATCATTAACCGATCGAATTTCAGATGGCGATTGTGAACCTGAAATCAGTGGATGATCGTTTCGTCATAGTAAGTGACTCTCATCAAGTATGTGTATCCATGACCTCTGAACTCAGTCGTCCCAGTCAGAACTTTTGGTCTAGCATGCTATGCTTAACATGTTGATCACTGAACTTGACGCCAACAATGTTAGTTGCTAACGTGATTGAAATTAAATCGAAAATCTTTGGATTGATTCTCACTTGCGGAATCTTACGTGCGTAATGTTGACGAGTACCATATTCGGAAGAAACATTTGTGTCGATCCTAACTTTATCGATTTATCTTATCAATAAAACTCGATCAACCAAATTTGTTGTTTATTACCTACTTACTTACTTACGCCTGTTTCCCCAATGGAGCATAGGCCGACCACCAGTTCAATCCAAACAACTCTGTCCTGGGCTTCTGTCTCCAATTCTATCCAATGTTTGTTCATTCTTCTCATGTCTTTCTCTATCTCTCAGAGTATTGTGTTCCTTGACCTTCCTCTTTTCCTTTTGCCTTTAGGGTTCCATGTGAGGGCTTATCTTGTGACTCAGTTATGTGCTCTTCGTATTGTGTGTCCTATTCACTTCCACCACTTCTTCTTGATTTCCAACTCAACAGGAATCTGGTTTGTTCTCTCCCACAGTACGTTGCTATTGATCGTGTCTGGCCAACGAATTCGAAGTATTTTGCACAGACAACGTTTAATAAACACTCGAATCTTCTGGATGATGGCTTTGGTAGTTCTCCAAGTTTCCGCTCCATACACTAGAACTGTCCTCACATTTGCATTGGAAATCCTGATTTCTGTGTTTATTGATATTTGTTTGGAGTTCCACCCTCGGACAACCAGCATCTGTAGCGAGGCTTCCTTCTTTCTGACAAGGAACGAAGGGTTAGAAAAGGTCGACCCTAAAAATGTCACACCTCACCTTACCTCACGGGTTTCCATCTCCGGCGGTAAGGGCGCCCACTAAGGGCTTTCAAGGGCGGTGCGAATGCTCAAAAACCTTTTCATAAAAAGGCGATGTGTGACGGGCCTCAGGCAGTTGTCCTTTGGACTCTGCGGTCACGCCCCAGGTCTCTAAGACCGACACTAAGCTACCTTTCTTTTCAGGTCCCTCAAGAAACAACCTTCCATGGTGTGGGCAGTCGGGAAGTGACAACCGCCCTCATATTCGTAACAGCACGCGAGACCGAATTGGTCAAATCCTTACTATACCTCCTAGTACCACTCTTATCTCATAAGGAAAAACACCTTTTGACCCAACTAGATCACATCGCCATCAGTTATCAACGAAGGTGTTCGATAGTGGACTGTCGCTCATTCTGGGGCACATGTTTAGATTCAGATCATGCCCTAGTGCGAGCTCGTGTTTGTCTGAGGCTTACTGAACGTAGGAAAGACACCGTAAGAAAGCCTCTTAGGGTTTTACTTAACGGTAATAGGGCGAAGAATATATTTCAGGAACAACTAGAAAGACAGTTAGGCGACCGTCTAAGCGATTCCCATCCGGAAGCAGGTTGGAATGATATCAAAAAGGCTGTGGAAACAGCAGTGATATCTGTTAGTAAGGTTAACCATAAGGCTAGAATGAAGCCGTGGATCTCTGCTGCATCTACCGAAATGATGGATGATCGAAAACTCATCCCACCTGGCTCTGACCATGGAATCAGCGTACGGGCCACTAAAAGCAGTAAACCCTAACTCCAGTTCAACACAGTCCACTAAAACTTAAGTGAGCAATCAAGATTTATAAGAGATAATATTTTCGTGCTAAAAATAGTGTGATTATTTTAAACAACTTACAATATGGAAACAAATTTAGTCCTACCTACCAGATTTTATCTTTCTTATCTTTATCGCTAACTTCTATTCTCTGAATTTTCTTAATTATCATTTCTGTAAATTAATAAAAAAAAAATAACTTTCTTTCATAATCTGTCAGAATTAATTATTTCTCAGAAATTTATTTTCACAAGGTTTTTTTTTTAGTTTATTGTGAGTCCAATCATTCCACAAAAATTAATTTACAATTAATAAATTAGATTTTTGTTTTGGTGAAAGAAAAAAAAAAGAATATTAAAATAATTACTGAATATAGTAATAATAATAATAATAATAAACGAGATTAGAGATTTTCTAATCAAAAATTCACAAAAAATAAATTTTTAACCAATCAAAATTTTTAAAAAATACAAAATAATATGATTGGTTAAAAATTTGTTCGTTTTTTTTTCAATCAGTCAGCATTAATAAATGTGGGTGTTCTTACTCAGCTTAGTTTGAATTAGAAAATTTATAAATTACTATTTTTGGTTACTGGATTTTGATATATATATATATATATACAAATGAGAGCAAAATATTAATAATTTTTGTACATAAATATTGTACCAACCTCTTGATACTTGAAAATTATTCTATTCTATTCTATTCTGTTCTAATCTGTATTCACTGGAAGATGTTATTCTTCACATTGACTCATTTATCAACATTATTGTGTATTAGTATTACTATTAGTAATATGATTGTACAATCTAATGCTCAAACAAATATAGATATCACTTTATCTCATGGTGGAATAATTCGTGGTCAAGAAGAAACTGTCATTATAAATGGCAATACAATTCAAGTGAATCATTTCTTAGGTATACCCTATGCTATGCCACCAATTGGTGAATTACGTTTTGCTCCACCTAAAAAACATCCCGGTTGGACTGGTCTACGTAATGCAACTAAATTACCAGCAACATGTTGGCAATATATATTTGGAGGATTTGATGCAGTCAATCCAGCTGGTAAAATGTGGATTAATAATACGGAAATGAATGAAGATTGTTTGTATATGAATATATGGACACCGAAATCTACGACGACAACTGCTGCGCCTGGTGCTGTGAACAATCAACGTTTCCCTGTGATGGTATGGATATACGGTGGGGGGTTTACATCAGGCAGTGCTAATCTACAAGTCTATAATGGTGCTATACTTGCAGCGAAACAAAATGTCATTATTGTATCAATGCAATATCGTGTCGGTGCATTCGGTTTCTTACGATTAAATCCCAATGTTGGCAATAATCATAGCCAATTAGAAAGTGAACAACAATCAATTGCTTTAGGTAATCAAGGTTTACTAGATCAATTGATGTCATTACAATGGGTACATGAAAATATTCAACATTTTAATGGTGATCCAAATCAAGTGACATTATTTGGTGAATCAGCTGGAGCTGTCAGTGTATCGATTCTATGGATGTCACCAATGGCTCAACCATATTTTCAAAGAGCTATATTACAATCTGGTAGTGTATATGCACGATGGGCTTTAGACAGTGCGAATGAAGCGCATGGAAAAGCAGTTGAAGTATGTAACGATTATTATTATTATTATTATTTTGCTAAAAACTATTTAATGCTTTAAATTAAAATTTTTAATTTTTTTATGAAATTAAAATAAACTTTTTCAAATGTTTAAGTTATATTTATAAAGTGCTTTATGGGGTTTTGAAGATTGTCAAGTCTTTTTATTTGTGACCATGAATCGATCAATGTTAGGCCATTATTAGAAACCTGGAAGCACTGCTGAGGAGTCCCACAGCAGGACGAAACGGCCGTGTTTCAGTGCTTCCAGGTTTCTAATGGTGGTTTTTAACATTGCTCGACTCATGGTTTCAAAAAAAACTCAACAACCTTCACAACCCGGTAAAACATATTTACGTGTTTTTTTAGCCAAATCGCTTTTATTTTATTTTTTTTAAAATGACGTAATAGTTCGCATTTCTTATTAGTTTAAATTATCCAGTTAGCAAAGATTTTTCATCATAGAGCTATAGAGATTGTTATTTATTACTGAAATCATGAATGTATCATTATTAGACCACCAACTTTTTGAAATCTGGAAACACTGGATGGCCATTTCGTCCTGTTATTAAACTCATCAGTGGCAGTGCGCATCCATTCAAACTGAGGACCTTCCGTCTTGCGCGCGAACGCCTAATCTCTGGACCACTAAGTCGATATCTAATGGTGTTAATGTCTAACTCTGATCAATCCAAGTTAGATAACTGCCTACTCCCGACACGGTTGAACTCCACCGGTCATGTCATCTCACTAGAACTCCGACAATTTCCCTACGGAGCTATTCACTGATAAGCGTAATATACGATTTATCATTATAGAGTTATGTAGGTTGTTGAGTTTGATTTAAATTAAGACAATCGATGAAGTCGAACCGGATCATAGATTGATTAATGCTAGACAATAACACCTTTGGATATCGGCTCAACGGTGTAGATCAGTCGTGGAAGTACACTTCTAATGAATTCTATACTAAAACGAAACGGTCATCAAGAGCTTCCAAGTGTCTTTCGAAGGATAATCTAACATTTATCAGTTCATCAACCAATCAATCAGTCAATCAATAGCAACGTAGAATTTTGTATGTAAGTACATCAGTTCATGTTGCCATACCACATTAGCACAGAGATGTAATTGTCAATTCAAATCCATTAGTGGAAGAGATAGTAAAGGTATTAGCAGTAATCGGAGAGGTTAGGATGCGATGTTAGTCAAGAAGTAGAATCTAGTGAACTGGACTTAAAAAGATAAAGATAAAGGTGATGAGGAATTAAAAAGTTTAGGATTTGAGAGAATACAGAAAAAGAATGCACCTTCGCAATTGCAAACGGTTTTGAGCCATGTCATTCACAGGGTCAAATCATACCTTTAATGAAATCTATTTCGTGATGATTATTTTTCCTCATAAGATTCTCAATCATTTGATCTTAATATTTAAACGATACAGTAATTTGCATTACGGATTGGTGAAGATTGTTAAGTTACACATTTTTGAAACCATGGAATCAATCAATGTTAGACCACCATTAGAAACCTGAAGCACTGAAAGACAGCCGTTTCGTCCTGGTATGGGACTCATACACAGCAGCGAGCACCCACGACTGCTGCACCTCGCAGGATTCGAACCCATGACGTTCGGTATTGTGCGCGAACGCCCTAACCGTTAGACTACTGAGCCGGTACCTAGCACACGCAGTCTTCGGTAGTTACTGTCTACACTCGAACAGGTTGAACTTCACTGGTCTCATCTTCCCACTGGAACTCGGAGAAGATTCCTCACGAAGCTAGTCAATTCTTTGATTAAAATTTCTTTCCAACTCATTTAGATTTCAATAATAATTAAAACCTTAGTGAAATAGTATTTATTATCGAACACTGAATATAGATTTATATTGAATAATCATGTCTACTTAAATGTTACGTGTTACTCAACTCAACTCAACTATCCAAATCAATAAACATGTTGTCCATTATTTGCAGTTCAATATTCTAATTAATTAGACACAGTGTTACGTGAAAAAGAAAACGGTTATTCAGTTCATTTAAAACCTTGAACTTTAACCAAATCCAATGAAGTACCTGTTTTGCGTTTTATATGTTTTTTTTCTGATTACTTACGGTTAACAGAGAATTTTTCAAAAATTGCATAATGTGAATTATAAGTAGTGTTTTCGATATGATTTGTTAAAACATGTAATCAGTTAGAATTTCTTTAGTTAGTTAAATCACGTCTAAAAACATAATTATTTTTTTGGTGAATAAATCAAAAATAATTAGACATTGAATAAACACTTGACAATTTAACATATTTTCAATATACAAACAAGTACATCACTGGTAGGTAAATCAACATTATTAAAAATTATTAATTAAAATTGTGAAAAATAAAAAAAATGTTTTGTTTTTAATGTATATTTCAGTTTTCAATTATTTGAAACTTTATTCAAGTTATTTTGTTTGTTGTTTAAAAGTTAGGGTAAAATTTACCGCCAAATAAAAAAAAGAAAATCATGGTTTATATTTTCGTTTTTTTAAATGTTCTCAATAACACCCATACATCTAAATTTATCTGAATTTAACAAAAGAAGTATAATAATCAGAATTTTTTTTTTAAAAAAAGAGAAAAACAAATGAACTATTGATAATTGAACATATAATGAGTTAATTAAAACAAAAACAAATTTCACAAGTGAAAATGACTTATGATCTAGAAATTAGAAAAAAAGGTCCTTTGATAAAGTTACATTTATAATCAGACATAGTGTGATCTCTGTGTTGTTAATATTTTTTGTTTACGAAAATAGATATTTTATTTCGGTGATATATATTCCTAGTCAAAGAGAATTTGTTTATTCAAATTGTTTTTGTCTTAATAAGGATAATTAAAAGATAAGAATAAAGGATTATTTTTGAATAATTCACGATTTCATTCATTGTCTACAGTGGATAACTGACTTCTTCCTTTTTTTCTCTTGTCACATGTCTCATGTCTCGGCGTAATGCGTTCTTTGATCTACTATTGTTCTTTTGGACTTGAGGATTACAATTATGAGCTTGTCTTTTGATTCATTTCCGCAATGTTTGTCTCGTCCACCTCCGGCGCTTCTTCTTGATTACCTCCTTCGCTGGGATCCAGTTTGTTCTCTCTCACAGTAGGTTGTTGCTGATGGTGTCTGATAAAAGGGTCGGATGTGTTTTGAGTAGACACCTATTAATAAACACCCCTTACAGTAGAACTGTATTGACATTTGTATTGAAAATTCTGACTTTATTGTTGGTTGATAGTTGTTTCTAATGGAAGATGTTGCTCAATTATAGAAATGCAGTCTTTACTTTGCCAATCTATGCCTTCACATCTGCATCAAATCCACCTTGCTGATTGTTGGGACTACCTAGATACATAAAGCTTTTCGGAAGAATGGTTATTTCGGAAAAAAACATACCTGTACAATGTTTCCGTGGTTTCGATTTATCTATTTAGTATAACTTATGATTGTTGATATGAGAGATATGAACATCTTCGTTTTAGTTTCAAGATGGACAAACACCTGAGAAAAATCTAACAAAAATGGAATTCATAGGCCACTAAGATTCACTGCACGATCTTTTGAAGCTGTGAACTTCTATCCGAAGTTTGTGCTACTAATTAAACTCCATCTCAATCATTCATCCATCCATCCATCTCAAAATAATCAAAACTTTGACTGAATAAAAGCAATTAACTAAGTTAGTCAGTTAATTATCGATTTCTAAACAAAATTATTCATGTGTTCATATGAAAATGAATTTTTTAGTACAAACAGTAACATGTGATAAAAATGTTTGTTCAACATGCATAATTCAAATGATATTGAAGTCATTTACGCAAGCAGTTGAATAAAATATCAGTTGATATGAAATTCTACTGAAAAAGTTTTACAATTTATGAAAACTAGACTTCCTTAAGTATAACATTTACTTCTATATAGATGATATTTAATGAGGATGCATTTTGTCTGTACTCATAATACACTTACTTAATTGCTTACTTATTGACTTACCTACCTACTTACTTACTTACTTACTTACTTACTTACTTACTTACTTACTTATTCACGTGCTCACTTACATACTTACTTACTTACTTACTTACTTACTTACTTATTCACGTGCTCACTTACATACTTACTTACTTACTTACTTACTTACTTACTTACTTACTTACTTATTCACGTGCTCACTTACATACTTACTTACTTACTTACTTACTTACTTACTTATTTACTAACTTACTTATATACTTACTCACTTACCTAATTATGCCTGTTACTCCTAATGTAGAATAAACCAGCGACCAGCATTCTCCAGCTTGGTCCTCTACATTCCTTTCCATTTCTGTCGAGTTGTTGTTCGTTCACTTCATATTTTCCCTCCGATTCTCAGAGTAGTGTGTCCCCTGGTATACGTCCTGGGTATTTCTGTACACTGTTCATTTTCCTCATGTCTCCCTCCATTCCTCGGCGTAATGTGTTGTTTGGTGTTCCTCTTTTCCTTTGTGGAAAAGCAAGATTCTCCAATCCAACACAACCAGCGCCAACCAAATCACTCATGATGGAGACGTCTTGGAGAAGGTGAAAACCTTTACAATATGGGCAGCATAACTGATGCAGATGTGAAAGCTCGGATCTGCACTACAAGAGGAGCATTTCTATAAATGAAGAACACCTAAAACTCAAAACAACTATCAACCAACACCCCAAAGTCACGATTTTTGATACAAATATCAAGATAGTTCTACTGTTTGGAGTGGAAACTTGGAGAACCACAAAAGATATCACCCTAATTACAAGTAGTTACTAATAGTTTTCTATTCAAGATGCTAAAGATCCGATCGATGGACGTCATTAGCAACAAATAAAAAAAGGATTCGAGCGAATAAAGAAGCTCTGAAAATGGATAAGACACACTGCAGAAAACACTCGACAAAGTCACAAGACAAAGCCTCATTTGGAATCCTCAAGGGAAAATAAAAAGACGAAGACCAAGGAACACACTGATTTGAGAATTGGGGAAAATATGAAAAGAATTAATAACAGTTGTGTAGAACTTGGACAGAAAGCCGAGGACAGAGTAGGTTAGAGAATGCTGGGCGACAGCCTATGCTCCATTGATGGTAACAGGAGTAATTAAGTAAATAAAAGATGAATTTATTTATCATTATAGGAATATTAAGACACGATAAAAATTTGGTTGTTACTTATTCTCTGGAGATAGGTTGGAAGAAATCTAGGGGCGGCCACACCATAACATGGCACAAATCCATGAAGTCACTGACAAGTGGCCTGAGTCATGTTGGTAGATGTAGGCTATCTGGTCGGGGTCCGCGAGACGAAAGTCACCGATGCTTAGAGTCCTTGAACGACATGGCTCAAAATCGTTTGCAACTGCTCAAGTGCATTCACTCTTTGTGTTCTCTCAAATTCTAACCTTCTGAATTCCTTATAATCTCTATCTTTCTCCTTCTAAATTTATCTTACTGAATTATACTTCTCGAATCATATCTTCGCTCCCTAATCTTCTCCATTACTGCTAATACTTCTATTATCGCTACCACTCTAAGATTTGAACTGACTGTTGCCTCTCTGTACTGACGGGGTATGGCAACCTGAACTTATGTACACATGTATGTAGTTCTACGTTGTAACAGACTGTTTGACTCATTGTCTGGACTACACCTGAGCTACACATTTTCACCACTACTTCAAGATAATCCTCCATCATCAACGAATAAATATTACCCTTCATTATCCTCGGTAATTTGTTGAGTTCACTGAAGAGGTATAATGTTGACGAAACCTATTTTTCATACAAACAAACTAGATAATCAAATAAAATATATATTTTTTTCTGCATATATATGAACATAATTATTAGGTCAAATAAATCATGCAAAGTTGATGAGAATATCATAAGTATACCCTAAATAAAGAACTCTATTTCTTTTCAGGTTATTCATGATAAAATAAAATTTTAAATCAAGATTAACTTGGTAGATTTTGGTTTGCTTATCTATTGTTTGAAATGTACAAAGATTTAAGTATTGATTTTATTCGACTGATAAGACATTTTATTGAAAAAAATATTCTCTTCAAAATTCTATTTGTATACAGAAAAGTTGTAAAAAAATAATGTTGAATTTTGTCAATTTATATCTCAAATTGATTGGAGTTAAAGAAACTTTGAAAACCCAAAATCAGTTATAGATTTGTCTGATTTTTGTAATAATATGGAACTTCTTGAAGATGTTAATCTGTAATGCTACTGAAGCTCATGAAGAGTAGTGCAAGAAGTTTATATCACTAGGTCGGCAGTATTCAGTTGTAAAAACACCGATAACTTCAGTTATCAACTGACAGTGCTCAGCCATTGAGATGTTGGAGAATATTTGTGGCGCAGGTGGAGGATTGTGGTGGTGGTGTTTGGTTCTCTGAGCTGGTTGTTTTGGTTGTGAAGCTTTCATAGTTCTTCCGAACAACATCATCAGCACAAACTTCAGATAGCAGAAGTGATGCATTAGAATTTCTCCACGTTTGACCTATAGCTTGTTCTGCTAACCTCAATCTTGATTGGTTGCTGTTGACCTTAAACCTGTCGTTGTTTGCACCCTTTTGATCTGTTTCTTGACATAGAATCAGGTTAGCAGAACAAGCTACAGGTCAAAAGTGGAGAAATTCGAATGCTTCACTTCTATCTGAAGTTTGTGCTGATGATGTTGTTCAGTAGAAGAACAATGAAAGCTTCACAACCAAAGCACCCAGTTCAGAGAACCAAACACCATTACCACAGTGCTCAGTCATTTTCCACTTTTATTATCGTTAGTATAACAAAACAAATTTTTCACAAATAAACAGTTAAATAAGTAAAAAGCCGATCAATCACATGAAAACCATGAATCAATCAATCTTAGACCATCAAAAGAAACCTGAAAGCATTAGACGACAACTTTGTCGTGGTATGAGATTCATCAGTGGTGTGCAGCCAAGACTCCCGCTATCAGCAGTATTCTTAGCCAGGACCTTCGGTCTTATGCTCAAACGTCTAACCTATGAACCACTGAGCTGGCAGCCAACGTTCCTAATGCGTTTGACTGTGATCAATTGAAAAAATTTCTGCACAACTTCACCCATTGTCTTCGGTATTTACTACATACACCAGACAGGGTTGAAATACACCGGTTATATCTTCTCATTAGAGCTTCGAGAATTTCCTCACGAAGCTAGTCCTCGAATAATTTAGTTGTTGTTATAAGTTTATGTTACATTCTAAGAGAATATCAACTCTTTGTTAAAGTTGAAGTGTTATAAATCAGCGATCTGATACAAGTTTATACACTCGATTCTGATTTATAATGTTCTTATCAAACCTAGTGATACTACTCCATTGCTAAAACTAAATAGGGCAGGAGGCAATTCTCACTTATGAATCTCTAATTCGAAGTTACATAACTAGATAATCCATGTTCAAAGTATGATAAATACTTCTAAAATGAGAAATCTGTAAACTCTATACATTTAACTACTGAAGTCAAATGGGTGAACTTGCACGAAAACCTTGGATCGATCATAGTAAGACATTAACACCGTTTGATACCGGCCCAGTGGTTCAGAGGTTAGGCGTTAGTGAGCAAAACCGAAAGTCTTGGGTTCGAATCCTGACAGTAGCGGGAGTCATGTGTGCACACTGCTACTGATGAGTCCCATACAAGGAAGAAATAGCCGTCCAGTGCTTCCAGGCTTCTAATGATGGTTTAACATTGGTTCATTTATCATTTCAATGTAAAAAACAATCGACCCGATAAAAAATAGGATACTTTCAGCTAATTTTCATTGGTCAGTTAACTAATCTCTGACTTTCTTTTCAAGTATATTCACGATCACCATTTTCATTTTAGCATTAAACTCTTTACAGATAACAGGCTTTATCAGTAATCGAATAAAATATTTTTTTCTTAGGACAAAGCAGGTGTCTAGTGCTTTCTATTTCCTTAATAAATGTAAACTCGAAGCATTAAAAATCTCTACAAATCAAATCTCCTAGACTGATAATCACTTCATTTTCTCATAGTTTTTGCCAATATTTGATAGAATATATTACTTATGTGTTGCTTAAAAACATTTCCAGTTTCGAAATAATAATCATGTCAAAACACATAAATAAATATTGAGTGATTCATGCATGACAGCATATACTGTCGGTTAAAAATCATATTGAAATAAAAATCCACTTTATGATATGTCAATAACGTGTGTGTGTTGTAAAACACTTGTACAACTTTTGTTTGAGTAGTCTATACTACTCATAAGTAGACAAGATAGAATGTATCATATGAGATTTAGTCAATATTAGTTCTTTGTTATTATTATTATTTAAACCATAATATTTTGAGTGGTTCTGATTACGTTTTGTAAAATTGTATCTATCAACAGAGTTTCCTTCAATAAAAAAACAATGATTATTATTTATTGCGGGGTTGTTGTGAAGATTGTTAAGTTTTTATTTGAAACCATGAATCCTGCGGGTGAGGAATCTTCTCCGATTTCTAGTGGGAAGACGTGACCAGTGAAGTTCAAACCTGTTCGGGTGTAGGCAGTGTCTACCGAAGACTGTGTATGAGGTTGCGCAACTCCGTGAATCGATCAAGTTAGACATTAACACCGTTAGATACCGGCTCAGTGGTTCGATGGTTAGGCGTTCGCCTACAATACCAAAGGTCCTGGGTTCGAGACCTGCGGGGTGCAGGAGTCGTGGACGCGCACCACTGAAAAGTCCTGTACCAGGACGAAACGGCTGTCCAGTGCTTCCAGGTTTCTATTGGTGATCTAACATTGATCGATTCATGGTTTCAAATAAAGAACAGTTATTATTTAATTATAAATGTTAAGTTGACAATTAACAGTATAATTCTTTAATTGAAAGGAATCATTTGTTTTAACTAATACCATAAATGTTCAATTCTTAAGTTAGTTAGTTGAATAATTAACAGTAAAATTTTTGATTTTGCGTCAAATTATTAATACGGAGATCGTAGTTTTATTATCGAGTTCGCTAGCTAGACAGAAGGTCCTGAGTCCGAATTCTGTCATGGATGCTCACTGCCACTGATGAGTTCCCTATCAGGACGAGACGGCAGTCAAGTGCTTCAAGATTTCTACTGATAGTCTAACAATGATTCGTTCATGATTAAAATTGTCGAGCTATTAAACATGAGACACTCTGTACATACAGTGCTCCTTCAGTTCACAATACGACGCAACTATTACTACGATGTAGGTACGGCAGAAAAACCACAATTTCGTTTATACAGTAAGCCAAAAACCAACGAACGACTAATGTAATTCTGATGTCAGAACTGTATGCTGTAAACCTGAACCCCTTGTTGATCTGCCAACATTACTAAGCATAACCTATTAGGCAGCCCTGAAGCTTGCTGCTACGGGTTGGTGAAATAGACTATATTGAGTTAAATAATGAGAACTATGCTTTATAACTGTTTATTAGAAACAAAGTTTGAGACTTTGACATATGACTTCGTATAAAGAAATGTATCGCTACGAAAATCTTGAGACGTGTAACAGCCACAGCAAAATGTAACAACAAAAACACTGATGTACAAAACCTTCTCGTGAAATCATCATTTGCAAACTAATCCTTATTTGTTTCAGATTTGAGTGTTCTTTCATTTAGACCGTTCAGACTTCAGTTCACTTTACGTTACCTGCAAATCGCCTTCTGTTCTCATGCTTTCCTTCTCTATCTTTTCCTTTAGGACGTTTGATTTCTGTTTGATATCATATACTACTTATGTGAACATAAGTAGCGTACACCACAGTATGATTAATGCGTAGAATCATTTTTTTTTTAAAAATATCCTAAAAAATTCATCCCTTTTCAAATTTCAGTTTGCTTTAGCTTGTGGTTGTAAATCCCCATCATTAGATCGTAATGCAAGTTTACGATGCCTACAAAATTTGGATCCATTAACATTAGTCAATCAATTGGATAGTATAAACACAGCGATTGGTCAACGTCGACAGCATACTTTTCAACAATGTTTACACCGTAAGGATGAATCTACTCTTCTTCTTCCAGGTCAATCAACAAGTACACGATTATATTTTGATGTTCCTTTAAAACCGGTTATCGATGGTTTACTTATCCCAAAACATCCTGATGCAATTTTTAATAATGCAAAGAATTCCAGTGCATTCAAATCGAATCCAGAATTATTAATCGGTGTTAATGAGAATGAAGCAATGTTTTTCATTCTACCAGGTATTTCAATCAATAATACACAATTTCTCTATCCAAATGGTACAGTCGACCTACCGAATACAATTCAATTAGCCGCTGCTGCTGGTAATAGACAACCGTCACAAATCGATACTAAGGATGAATTAGCTGATTTCTACTGGATTACAACAACACAAATGTTAGATGAATCACAGATGAGACTTGGTCTTGCGAAAATCCCTGCCTATTATTATAATTTACCAATACGATCTACTTCAACAAGTGGTTTTCAAGATCCAGATACAATGAAAATGACAGCTGAAGAATTAATGCAACGTTTAGATCGACTAGCTGGTGATTTAGATTTTGCTTGTCCTACTTTAAATTTTGCTGAACATGTAGCTAGATTACCAAATGCTAAAGTATTTCTATATCGTTTTAATAAACGTACAAAAGCATTACCATTACCTAAATGGACAGGTGTTATGCATGGTTATGAAATTGAATATATCTTTGGTATGCCATATGATGCAAAATTTTCTAAAGAATTTTATAAATTTACTGAAGATGAAGAACAAATGAGTTCATTGCTTATGAAATTATGGACCAATTTTGCTAAAACTGGGTAAATCAATAACTTACTTCATTTATATAATGATAGGAATTGTTTGATTTATGTACTGATTGACTTGGTGCCTGTTACTCCCAATGGACAGTAGGGCCGCTGATCAACAATCTCCAATCAACTCTTTTCTGGTCATTCTTTTCCAGTTCTATTCAATTGTTATTCATTCTTTTCATTCCTGTCTCCGTAATGTGTTCTTTGGTCTACCACTTTGTTTTGACCTAGAGGAATCCATTTGAGGGCTTGTCGTGTGATACAGTTGGGTGATTTCATAAATGTGTCCTATCCATTTGCAGCGCTTCTTCCAGATTTCTTCTTCCGCTGGAATCTAGTCTGACCTCATCCACAGTAGGTTGCTGTTGATGGCGTATGTCTAAAGGGTCTGAAGTATTTTGCGTAGACAACTGTTAATCAACACTTGTATTTTGTGGATAATGGCTTACGTAGTTTTCCAAGTTTTTGACCCATACAATAGAAATGTCTTGACATTTGTATTGAAAATTCTTATTTCACTGTTGGTTGATAGTTGTTTTGAGTCCCAGATGTTGTTCCATTGTAGAATTGCTCCTCTTGCTCTGCTGGTCCGCGCCTTCACATTTTAATCAGATCCAGCATGCTCATTAATAATGCTGCCAAGATAAAGGTAAAGGTTTTCATATCTTCCAATGCCTCACCGTCAAGTAGGAATTTGGTAGGCGCATGTTGTGTTGTATCGTAGAATCTTACTTTTCCCATTATGTATGTTGAGACCTCCTGCGGCTGAGGCTGCTGCTACACTGGTCGTCTTCGCTTGTTTCTGCATGTAAGATCTACACCATCTGCATCCAGCTGCGTCCGAGCTATCCACTGTATCCCGTGCCTACCCTCTGATATTGACGTTTGTTTAATCCAGTTGATCACCAGGGGAAAGAGAAAGGGTGAGAGTAAGCAAACATGAGTGACACCGGTCTTCTATCTAAGTAACGTCGACCGCCTTTCAATATAGATGAGTTGAAAATGTAATTAGTTGAAACCATAAATTCATTAATGTTACAACACCATTAAAAACTTGATTGCCTTTTCCATCTAGTAAGGGACTCATCAACAATATGCATCTACGACCTCCGCATGTGGTAATCGAATCTAGAACCTTCGGTCTCGCGTGCGAACGCTTAATTTCTAGACCACTGAGCTGTCATACAAGTGTGTTAATGTCTATAATTATTTGATAAGAAGAGACTCCTTTCTAATGTAAGCAGTAACTGCTGAAAACGATGAGTAAGGTTACCGTGGGCTTGATCAAAGTTAGACATGAACACTGTCAGATGCCAGTTCAGTGGTCTAGAGGTTCAGCGTTCGCGCGTGAGACCGAAGTTTCGATCATCGTGCTGATGGGTTGCGTACTAGGCCAAAACAGCTATCCAGTGCTTACAGGTTTTTAATAAAGGTCTAAAGACGATCTGTATAAAAAAGGAAATATAATAATAGTGAAGATCAATGTTTGTATGAAATCTCCTAGCAAGTGATGTGTATTTACCTACAGAATGGGAAAGTATGTAAAATATGTTACTTTGTCTAACTATCTATCTATTTATCTATCTTACTAACCATTCTTTGTATTCTGTTTGGCTTTCGGTGTGAAAATTCACATTATGCCATAGATCAATCTGTTTTTTTTAATTCACTACTTCAAAATAACTCACTATCATTGATTTTGCTGTCATTTAAAAAAAAACAATACTTTTCCGAAACTATCAAGATGACTTCAACGTTTCGTTTAGATCGTTGAAAATCAATTTTGTTAAATAGGCAGTGTTTTTTTTGCAACTCCATAATTTAGACACAAATAATTACGAATTTTCAATTAGAGTTACGGAGTTTAGTGTTTTTCGCACATTGAAATCATCAATCAATCATTGTTAGACCACCATTAGAAACCTTGAAACCGTGGATGGCCGTCTCGTCCTGGTATGAGATTTATCCGTTGCAGTGCGTTTCCACAACTCCTGCTGCTGACAAGATTTGAACCTCGGACCTTTGGTCTTCCGCGCAGAAGCGTAAACTCTGGACCACTGAGTTGGTGGCATTCAACGATGTTAATGTCTAACTCTGATCGATCTAAGGATTTTCGCGCTACCTCACACATTTGTCTAAACCCGATAGAGTTGAACTCCACTGATCACGTCCTCCCACTAGAACTAAGAGAATCTCCTCATGAAGCTAGTCACTAGTGAGCACATTTTTACGATTTTTCGAATTAGAAAATTATTACGATTGTTGTTTTGCATTGAAAACCACAACAGGGTATGAATTATTTCGTGGATAAGATGAAATCGTGATCATTTTCAAGAATAATAATAGTTATCTAGGAAACCTATGATAATAATGAATACTTTTTTGCCAATTGTCTCTTGCTGGATGAATCTATATCGCAGGGTTGATATTTAATTCAGGACTCGAACTAAGCACCTACACTTCGAGTCCCTGAATGTATATCAACTATGAGTTCCAAAAATAGAATGAAAATTACTACTTGGCACTAATCTTCTGTCTGTTCATGATAGTTATAATTGAATGGTAGTATGTTGACATGTTTTTACAGGCTGTACGTAAGTCAAACAGAGAATTATCAATTGCAATCTTAACATATCAATGAGAATATTCAAATAGCCATTTCAAATGATTACTTTTATTTTGGAGCAGAATTTTGAAGGTTTGTCTTTTTACACATTTGAAATCATCAATCATTCATTGTTAGATGATCACCATTAGAAACCTGGAAGCACTGAAACACGGCCGTTTCGTCCTGATATGGGACTCATCAGCAGTGTGCATCCACGACTCCTGCACCTCGCAGGATTCGAACCCAGTACCTTCGGTATTGTGAGCGCACGCCTAACCATCGGGTCACTGTACTGGCATCCAAGGGTGTTAATGTCTAACTCTGATTTCGCGTAACCTCACACATTTGTCTTTGATAGTTACTGCCTATACCCGATAGAATTGAACTCCATTGGTCACGTCTTCTCAACTAGAACTCCGATAATTTACTCACTTAGCTAGTTACTAGTTAGCAAATGTTACGATATTTTGCGGCATAATTTTGAAAGTTTTCTCGGTTTTTACACACTTGAAACTTCATATGATATGATCTAGTTAGTTCTATTCATCCAAATAGCATTTATTTGACATTATTGTCTCGTCGTTTCCTTTTTTTTTAAGTAATCCATCTAAGGATGAAAATAATATATTACAAAAACCAGAATGGCCTTTATATCGTCGTACAGATGAATTAATTACCAGTGAATCTGATTATCTTCTTATTGAAGATGAATTGAAACCAGCTACAGGATTACGTCGTGATCGATGTCGATTTTGGTTACATGAAATGAACGACTTGGCGAATATATTACAAAATACATGTGACCTTCGATCAGCTGGTAAGTTTTCGTGGTACTTCGCCTTTTTTTGTTCTCTGTGTGTAAAATTACACGTTATTATTTTTGTTGATTAAAACAAATTTACAAACAACTTCCAACCAAAACCAAAATCAGGATTTTCAATACAAATGTCAAGACAGTTCTACTGTATAGAGTGGAAACTCGGAGAACTACCAAAGCCATCATCCAGTGGATACAAGTGTTTATTAACAGTTGTCTACACAAAATAATTCGGATTCGTTGGCCAGACACCATCAGCAACAACTTACTGTGCGAGAGAACAAACGAGATTAGAGTGTAGTAGGAAATCAAGAAGAAGTGGTGGAAGTGGATAGGACACACATTACGAAAAGCACAGAACTGCGTCACAAGACAGGCCCTCACATGGAACCCTCCAGGCGAAAGGAAAAGAGGAAGACCAAAAAATACATTACGCCGAGAAATAGAGAAAGATATGAGAAGAATGAACAAACATTGCACAGAACTGACGAGGGAAGACCAGGAGAGAGTTGGTTTGAGAAAACTGGTGGGCGACTTATGCTCCATTGGGGGTAACGGACGTAGGTAAGTAAGTAATTAAAACAAATTTAGCCGTTTGAAATGAAAACTATAAAAATTCAAGTCATAATCAATGTATATCAGTGTAAGTATTTGTACAGAGAGAGATTATCATGTGGTGTGTGTTAGTTTAAACTAGTTAATTTCCAATAAACAATTTACATGAAGATAAGACATTGACATTCTGTGCTAGTTAGTGTGTTGTAGAAAACATTCTAGTGAAAAAACTTTTTTTCTCTAGTTCTGTAAAATTGATTTCATAAATGTTCAGTTGATTACAGTGTTGTATTATGATTTAGGTGTTTAATTGTTTATAAAATTACTTACTTAGTCATGCCTTTACTTATACACTAACTTACTTGCTTACTTACTTACTTAATTACTTACTTACTAACTTACTTACTTACTTATGTACGTACTTACACCTGTTACCCCTCATACCGGAGCATATGCCGCCGACCAGCGAATAATTTTTCTGGTTTGGCGTTGTGTTTCAGTGAGTTGGATTTCTATAGGATGGGGTCGTTAACACTATGCTCAATCCGGCTTCTTTAAATAGGCTCGGAGACAGCACTATCCAGGCAGAGTTTAAATATTCAGAAATAACTGTTCAGTTAAATTTTTTTCCTCAAATTCAGTTTTCATTTCATCAAAGTTACTTAAAGATATAGGGATAATAATAATAGTGCCAAAAATAAACTTCAAAACAAATGATTTAGTTGACTGTTTGACAACAGTTGAACATGAAGATGAGATTAAAATCATCATGACAATGAATAAAATGGCATTTTGTACATGGAAAGAAAACAAATAAGATTACAGAATGTAGAGTACACATATTGATCCTAGTTAATATTAGTTCCATTCAAATCATGAATCAGTTAACGTTAGATCATCATGAGAAACCTGCTAGAAGTGAACGGCGGTTTTTTTTCCAAGTATGAGACTCGTCAACAGTGCATATCTATGACCTTCGCAAACAGGACTCGAACCCAGGATATTTGGTCCCACGTGCCAAAGGTTATAGGTCAAGTGTTCGCAAGCGAGGTTGGGAGGTTCCTGTGTTCGGTTATCGCTTGCGCTTACATCGATTTACACTCCTGATCAATCACATAATTAAACTAAACGAATGTCCATTACCCTCCATGTTTTGAATAATGGTCTAACTTGATTTCAATAGAACCCAATAATCTTTAGTGCTTCTTAGTCATAATATTTAGATTTTGCTAAAAAGACTAGCTTTATTTGATCAAAATATATACGATACATTTTTTATTAACCATCATATTTCTTATTTCATTTTCTTGTATTTTTCTTATGATTCTTAGTACTTTATTACTATTATCAACTTTTTCTAATTGCCCTGGTTGATTATCAGTTACTTAATTGCTTACTTACTTACGCCTGTTACCCACCAATGGAGTGTGGGCCACTGACCAGTATTCTCCAACCTACTCTGTCATGGGCTTCCCTTTCCATTTCTACCCAATAGTTGTTCATTCTTTACATGTCTGTCTCTGATTCTCAGAGCAATGTGTTCTTTGTGTTGGCGATGATAGATCCGCAGAACTCGGTTGATAAATGCCTTATTTTGGATTTCACATTTGCCAGCATGTGCTGATCGGTTGACCTTGAGATTTCATTTCCCATCAGGAAAATCCTTGGCTGTGATTGGCTGCTGTGTATTTTAGTGTGCTGTTTTCGTAACTGTCCCAAGGACGTTTCTATGATGTATAAATAAACGAGAGTTGTGTGCTTGAATGTATTGTGTGATTGCTGAGTGTTGTAGAATATACTTTCTACGCTTACAAAGTATTTTCACTCTATTTGGGGATTCAAGGTAGCCTACCTGGACACCGGTAATTGTCTCGTTCGCGTTTATCGGCTAAGATAAACTCGTAATAGCTTCAAGGATACCTAGTGACGAACATAACACTATGGTTTTCATCTTTTCCTTTGACCTTAAGCGTTCCAAGTTAGGGTTTGCCATTGCCAGATAAAAACAATACACAACTACATCTTGGCACAGCTGATTGATAACGATCATAATTTGTATCTTTTGATTTCTGCCGCAACTTGAAATAGTCTTCCAGTCTCCCGCAATGTACAAACGTTTCAGGTACCTAAAAGAATGGTTGCTCTGGTTTTGAAAAGAGGCATCGACGCTGTGACTTGCGAGGGAACTCGGCTTTCACCACGCGACGTCATAATTCTGCTTCCAACTCCCAGGGGAGAGTTAAAATGGTTTGGTTTATTTTTTCTGGCTAGCGTTTTATTAGCAAGTTAGTTTTTGACGGGATGGGGTCGCCAATCCCATGCCCAACGCCTCCTGCTTTATCCGGGCTTGGGACCGGTAGTAGCCCTGAAGGTTCTACTGGCGGAGTTACATCCTGTATTGACTCATAATAAATCGATCTGATTAGTTTAAAATTTTTCATGTAAAAATATTCATTTACATACTAGAGAATAAAACTTAATGACGATCTAATGGTCAACACTATTATTCGCATTGAACAGCCGTTTCATCCTAGTTTGGGAATACGCATCCATCAGTGGCAGTTCGCGTCCACAACTCCTGCTGCTGGCATGATTCGAACCTGGGACTTTCGGTCTTGCACGTAAACGCCTAACCTCTGTATCACAGGGCCGGTATTCAACGGTATTAATGTCTAACTCTGATGAGTCCGATACCAGAACGAAGCGGCTGGCTGTCCATTACTTCCTGGTTCCTTCTAATGGTTGTCTAACAATGATTGAATCATGATTTCAGTAATACATACATTTATTTGTGAAAGTATTTTATTCTTCTTTCAAGAATTTACTCTTAAATTTAGTATAGAAACTTGTATCATGTAAAAAACAAAATGTTTCTACAGATTTTCACATGAATACAGTTTTCTTTACGCATTTTTTTGTATTTTTATGTTCATGTGAATCTATGTTCGAATGATCACATTAATTTAACTAATGAATCTTGCATTGATTTCGGAATTTTATGTTAACCGCCTATTTAAACACTGTTTATATTCATAAGAAAATAACTCTTTGATGCAGTTTATGGTTATTGTCACTAATTCAAAATATTATCCCCCTTAGATTTATATATATATATATATATATATATATATATATATATATATATATATATATATTTACAGTAGTTCGATGAAATTCATTTCTACCGGTTAATTTAAAACTTTAAGAAAATTACACCTATTAAACAATAACGATTGATTATTGATACTCGAAATAAAACATTGAACACATTGTTATTATCTAGATTTTTGTTTTAGTTTGTTCTTAATATTACAATAAATCATATTTAGGCGGCAGAGTTTTGGAGGTTTGCGTTTTTACACCACCATTAGAAACCTGGAAGCACATTTGAAATCATCAATCTTTAGATCAATCAGAGTTATACATTAACACCATTGGATGCCGCCGGCCCAGTGGTCCGATTGTTAGGCGTTCGCACACAATACCGAAGGTCCTGGGTTCGATTCTTGTGAGGTGCAGGAGTCGTGGATGCATATTGCTGATGAGTCCCACCATACTAGGACGAAACGGTAGTCCAGTGCTTCCAGATTCCTAATGGTGGCCTAAATGATGATGACTGATGACTTCAAATCATACTTAGCTTTTTTGTTCTTTCTTACTGAAGAACCACATTTCTCATTAAAGCTCATGTTGATTGATAGTGTTATTAAATTCTAAAACTGTTGAGTATGTTAGATCCCCCAGAAATCGCTTGATAAATATCTTTATTTTGGATCAATTTCATGGATGGGTCAGTTGACCTTGAGATGACATTTTCCTCCAGGAAAATTCTTGGCTGTGATTGGTTACTGTGTCATTTTAGTGTGCTGTTTTGTGACTGTCCCAATGACGTCTCTATAGAGTATAAATAAACGCAATTAGAGTGCTAGGATTGATTGTGTACTGGCTGGGTGTTTGTAGAATACAAATTCTACAATATATCAAGACTTCTTGCTGATACCTTTTGGTCAAGGTATCACAGTAGCCTACCTGGACACTGGTTTGTCCTCGTTAATTGACTGAGGTGAACTCGTAATAGTTCAAGCATACCTAGAGTCGAGCATAACAAAAACATGAGTTATTTTTCTTAGGTGTAATTGAAAATTTAAACTGTTTTATCTTTATGATATTAGTGTTTTTACAGCGTGTTAGGTTTGAATAAGATGCGGTGGCTACTAACCCCACGTCCAACCTTCCTCCATTAAACGGGCTTGCGACCGGCATTAGCTAAAGAGGAGCTCCAAGCGGAGTTAAATTTATCAGCAGTGCACATCCACGATTCCTACTACTAGTAGAATTTGAAAACAGGACCTTCGATCTTTATTATATTCATAAAATCTCTCCAACTTAAAACCGATATTGTATACGAATAGTGTTTTCGAGAAAACACGTAACTTTTATCTAGAAATGTGTATTCGATGTTACGAACCGAAAACTGTCTTCTTAAAATTAAAAATCATAGTATATATGATGTCAAGTTGCTTAAATTAATGTTCATAATTCATCTGTACGATGAGGACCTGAATGTTAGAATAAGATTGGAGGCACCCATTAACGGCAAGTATCGACTAGTGCAAAACATTGATCTGTAGGTGTTTTCTGTTAACTATATATTTAACCAGTTAATATGATTTATGAATTTTTATTCCATGCTCCGATGTAATAGGTCTTGAATGTTTGATAAATTATAAGAAACTATTCAAAACTCTTCTAAGAGCTGTTATATGTCTGTTTTGAAATGTTCATTGCTTACTTACTTACTTACCTACGCCTGTTGCCCCCAACCGAGCATAGGCCACCGACCAGTTTTCTGCAACCAACTCTGTCCTCGACTTCCCTTTCCAGTTCTGCCCAATTTTTGCTCATTCTTCTCATATTTTTCTCTATTTCTCAGCGTTCCTTTTTTACTTTTGCCTTGAGGGTTCCATGTGGGGGCTTGTCTCGTGACGCAGTTAGGTGTTTTTCGTAGTGTGTCCTATCCACTTTCACCACTACTTTCTGATTTCTTCCTCCACTGGAATCTAGTTTGTTCTCTCCCACATTAGGTTGTTGCTGATAGTGTCTGGCCAACGAATACGAAGTATTTTGCGTAGACAACTGTTAATATACACTTTTATCTTCTGGATGATAGCTTTGGTAGTTCTCCAAGTTTCCGCTCCATACAGTAGAACTGTCTTGACATTTGTATTGAAAATCCTGATTTTGGTTTTGGTTGGTTGGTTGTTTGGAGTTCCAGATATTTTTCAACTGTAGAAATGCAGCCCTTGCTTTGCCAATCCGCGCCCCTCACATCTGCATCGGATCCACGTTTCTGATTGATGATGCTGCCCAGATATTTAAAGGTGTTAAATATATATTTAAATAAATAAATAAATAAATATATATATATATATATATATATATATATATATATATATATATATATAAATCAGTCACAGTGAAATGGTTACGTTAGTTCACTATCTTTACTTTAAATCTTGAGTTATATTTGTTACTTTTGATTTATATTTCTCTTATCCTTAGATTTTTATTTTTCCAAATTTGAAGTTGATTTTTTATCCTCAATTTTTTTTATTTGATTTTTATTCTTGTCAATTTTCTCTTTGTTCATCCTCAAATCTTTCTATTTATCACAAACTGAATCGATACAAAATTATGGCACATCCTATATGACTAGCTAACTGTAGAAAACGTTTGAGTATAATGTACTGTTTAACTACTTTGAATGAAAACACTCCATTTATTAGTTAAGATAGAAAATATATTTATTGAAAAAAATAAGATGCCCAAATTTGAGATTTGCAGTAAAAAATTCCTTAAGGATTGTTCGTGTGTAAATCGAATCACGATTATACGGATCATTTTGGAATAATCAGTTGAATGGAGTTCATCATTTTACATCAACTTCACTGACTACGAGAAAGTATGTGATGGTGTTGACAGGACTAGAAAATATGAAGGCTTCTTCCAAGCTACAGTGTGCCTGATTCTTATGATGAACTAAACCAAAAAATCATGCATACAGGACAGCTCACATGATAGCTTATTCCAAGTAACGTCCGGTGTCAGTCAAGGTTTCTTACCCTCATCTTTTCTCTTTCTCCTAATGATCGACTCACTTATGAAGACGTCAAAAACCCAAGGTAAGCACGCGATACAGTGGACAGCTGGGATGCAGCTGGACGATTTGCACATTACAGATCACCTGATACGCAACAACAAATGCAGGCGAAGAAGACTATTGTGGCAACAGTCTCTTCATCAGGATATCTTTAACACGCACTTCACGGAGATGCTTTGGAAGCTGTGAAAACCTTCACAAACAATGTATATGTCATTCGTTGAACAAGGTGGATCTGATGCTGATGTGAAGACATGGATTGGTAATGCAAGGGAAGCACTTCTACAGCTGAACATCATCTGTAACTAGAAATAACTGTCCGGCAGTTAAAACCAAATTCACAATTTTCAATGCCAATATCAAAACATTTTCATTGTATGTAGCGGAAACTTGGAAAATTACGAAAGACATCTTACAGAAGATACAAGTGTCTATTAACCATTGTCTACGCAAAATACTTCGAATTCGTTGACCAGTGGGAGAAGACTAACCAACATCCAAACGAGTAAGAAATTAGAAAGAAATGCTCAAAGTGGATAGTACACACACCAAGGAAATCACCCATCTAAGTTACATGTCAAATCCTCATTTGGAATTCTTAAGGCTGTAGGAAATGAGGTCGATCAAAGAACACAAGGCATCGACAATCCAAGACAGGCATAAAATGATTGAACGGGAATTTGGGTGGAATAAAAAAGGAACTGTTTAGAACAGGATAGTTTGGAGAATGCTTATCGACGACAGTTGTATGAAAGCAAGTAAGTAAGCAAGCAAGAAAAGACTAAAAATTCCTTACATAGAATGAATAAAAATATTATTTCATTGTCTTTTTTTCATTATCTTAACTTATCTTTAACACTTTGGTTTTTTGATTTTTCTTTTCAAGGGATAAAACCAATTGGAAATTATATTTTATTCACTGGACTATGGTTCATTCTTTTCATATGGATATTTATTTCATAAGTTTAACTCACAATAATAATAATAATAATCATTAAAAATGGTGGAACAGATTGTTTTTTTCTCCAACTCATTCCAAACATTGAACTTTGAATTAGATTTATATTGCGCGCGCAAAGTTTTTTGTTGTTTTTATTGTTCTTTTACTAAACTTTGTACAGAGGAACAATGTAACATACTCAATGAATAATTTTAATCTATACCTCTTTAAATGTTAAATTAGTTAAAGATTTTTATCAAAATATTTTTTTTCTGTTTTTTTTCATTTGTAATAAAAATAATTGTTTATATATTTACTAACAACAACTACTGACTTAATTCAATGGGAACTGATCACATATTACGCACAGTATGCGAGTGAGTACTGCTGTAAAGAGTTAAATGCATGAATTTCGAAGACAATCGTTTCATTTTTCTAAACTAACATTCATCTACAGAGAAGAAACAAACTCTCTATTTACCTCTGTTAATTTCTTAGTTCCGTTTTGTTTTTCATTAAAAATTTGTACAATCGGAACAAGTTTGTTCAATGAACAATGTATCATTCTTGTTTCTTTTGTTTGAATTAATTCGCGCGCGCGCGCGCACAAACACACACAGTTGAAAATTGAAAAATAATTAATTTTGTTTCTGTACAAATGCGAAAAAACAGTATTATTTTAATTTTATTGTTTGTTAATGGTGTTTTACTAGTGTGTGTAATTTGTTTCAGTTACATTATGTTTTTGTTAAGCGTAGTTGTATTTCTCTAGAAAACAACAAATGTACTACGTGTGTGTGTGTGTTATTTTGTTTGTTGCCCTGTTTATTTTGATTCGTCTGACGTAACTCACTCACTAACTAACTAACTAACATGACTGATTACTACTGATGCCCAGTTAGTAGTATTTAATGAAATGAAATAAAAAAAAATTGCTTTTTGTTATTCTTTTTTGTAATTTCAGGCATAAGATGAATTGTTTTGTTTTTTTTTTAGTTTTATGCGTGGACATTAAAAATTTTCTGTCCATTTATCTGAAAAAATATATTATATTATTACAGAATGAAACTCTTATGTTATGTAGCTATTTTGATAGATATAAAATATTACGTGAAGTGTTTGTTGTATAAGAAACTAGATCAGGAAATAGCTGTTGATCAATTGATAATATTGGTTAGATAACTAAATATAAGCAAAAAATATTCACGTTGAATAAGTAAATTATTTTAGCAGAATTTGGTTACATTTCCTTCTTTACGCCTGTTACCTCCCAGTGAAGCATAGACCGCTAATCAGTATTCTCCAACCTACTCTGTCTTTCAGTCTTCTTTCAAGTTGCTTCATGTTTCCAATTTTCGGTACAGTGTGTTCTTCAGTATTTCGCTTTACTTTTGGCCTTGAAGATTCCAAGTGTGAGCTTGTCCTATGACGCAGTTGGAGGATATGTCCTATTCATCTACAGCATTGTTTCTTAATTTTCTCCTAAGTTAGTGGAATTCAAATTGTTTTGTTTCATAGAAAGTTGTTGCTGTTGATGCCTGTTGAACGGATTATCAGTATCTTGTGTAGATAAATGTTAACAAACACTTGTATCTAGTGGATGGTAGCTTTTGTCGTTTTCTAAGTTTCGTATTGAAAATTGTGATTTTGGTGTTCGTTGATAATGAATATAAAGAACTCGTTTTATATTTACTGATTCACTTTACGGTCTGTTTGTCCGATAATTTTTTTTGTTATAAACTAGTTTCATTATCATAGTTCATTGAAAATACAAAAATAAACTAGATTTTAGATCTTGCTGACAGTAAAGAGGTAAATGTTTTTTAGTTTTAATCATATGAGTCCCAACTATTTTACGAATTTTCAGTTAGAGTTTTGGAGATTTGTATTTTTACACATTTGAAATCATCAATCAACCAATCAATCATTGTTAGACCACTATTAGAAAGAAACCTAGAAGCACTAGATAGCTGTTTCGTCCGAGTATAGGACTCATCAGCAATGCGTAAATTTTTAAACATGTGATAAGTTTTGTTTGATGGTTTAAATTGTAGTAAATAGAAGGGCAGAATGCAGCTTACATTGACCTGAAAAATTTATGCATAGGTAAGGGCAATTCGTAATTGGTTGTCAGGCGAACCAAATAGACTACCCACGTATGAATACTACATCGTGAAATGTTTATGTTTAATCCCATGGAGCAACTATTATACACAGGTCCCTGGACCCAAAAGCACATGGTTCTAGGTTTTAAACCTTGGTTGGTCGACTAAAAAAACTGTACACTATTGAGAAATTGTACACTTGCATGTCGAAACAACTACCCAACCAATGGTACTAGTTTTTTCAATACTTATTTAAATAAATTACCACCGACGGCCTCGAAGAGCTTTGTTTTGTAGTGTAGGAATAGGTTGGAAGAAAGTAAGGGGTGGCCAGACCAAAACGTGGCAGCAATCCATAAAGTCATTGACAAGTTGACTGAGTCATGTCAGTAGTTGTCGACTACCTGGTTTGGGTTCGCAAGATGATAATAATCGATGGTTAGATACTCTGAATGACATGGCTCAAAACCATTTGCAATGGCGCCGGTGCATTTATTCTTTATGTTCTTTCAAATCCTAATCTTCTGGATTCTTCAACCCCTCTAGTTTTGTCTTTATAAACTTATCTCACTGAATAATATCTTCTAATCCTAACCTCTCTGATTACTTCTAATACCTTTACTACCTCTACTACTATTGGATTTGAATTGATAATTACATCTCTGTGCTAATGTGTGGTATGGCAACATGAACTGATGTACTTACTTACGTACAAAGTTCTACGTTACATCTGACTGACTATTTATTTAAATAAAATAGGTTTGTTATCCTCATAAAAATCATAGTTATCTTGTCTTTCAGTTATTTTTGTAAAAATAGAAAATCTTTATAAAAATTGTCTACAACAAAAGATTAATTTCCTTTTTATTATTAACCACTCTGAGCAATAGTAATATAGTTGAAATTTGGTAATCATACTCTGAGAGAGAGACTCAGAGAGACTCAATCAATCAATCAGTCAAGCAGATGACTGGTTAGATTTATTTTAAATGACAGTTATTTCCGACTAACATGAAATGTTGTCATTCAATGTGTAATTCTTAGATGTTTAAGGTCTTTTTTGTTTCTCCTCAAATTCAGTTCTTGTTGCACGGTTAATACAAAAATAATGACAGTGTCACTATAGTTACTTAACTCTTTTATTATTGAACAAAAGTTTGTTAAAATCTGCAACTGAATTGTTAAAAAATTGAAAATACAATTGTTCAGGAATACACATCATTAACACGATGTGTCTGAAACATGGAAAGTGTACATTTACGACTATGCAGAAGGCAATCAAACTTAGCATGGCCAGTTTCTCTCTCACTCCAATGAGAAGTCATGACCAACTGTGTTCTACCATGTCGGATATGAAACAGTTACATACACTGAAGATAAAAATAAAATTGAAGTCACATAACTATCATGGATTGATTGACTGAATAATTCAAGTTTATGATTTCAATCATTTTCTAAAAATAACACATCTAAATTTAGTGTTGTAATGCTTTCTTGGTTTCTTTATTCTGGCTTCTCACAGTTAACAATATTATGGGCTTCTAGTTGCAGTGTGCATATAATATGTAAAACTATTTGCTTCCTAAATTATTTTATACTAAATATTTCTAGTAGTTACAAATTTTTTAAAAGTTAACTATTACAGCTAATCAAATCATTTGTTTTGTATGATAACACATTTTCTGGTTGCGCAACTGATTCCTTTAGGTAAAATACCTGATGGATAAACCTAACTATTAAAGCAGGTAACTTTTGCCTAATCAAATTCACTGATATCATAAATCAATTTATCTTTGATCGACATTAGAAACCTGGAAGCATTGGACGGCCGTTTCATCCTAGTAATTGTGACTAAATAGCAACGCTCATACATGAACCTCGCTAGCGGGACTCGAACCCAGGATCGTTGGTCTCTCGCGCGAACAATTAGCGTATTGAGTGGGACACATCAGCAGTGCGCATCTGAATAGGTAAGGTCGTGCAAAATCTCAATCGATTGATCAGAGTTAAGCACTAAAACTGTTGGATGCTAGCTCAGTGGTCTGGAGGTTGGGCGTTTGCTTTCAAGACCGAAGGTCCTAGGTTCGAATCCTGTGAGTATCAGGAGACATGGATGTGTACTGTTGGTGAGTCACATACCCGGACGAAACGGCCGTCATTCAGTGCTTTCCAAGTTTCTGATGGTAGTCTAACAATGATCGTTTCATGATTTTAGTAATTACATAGCTTGTCATCTAACAAGTTATGCACCATAACAATATAAGATTTATTTTGGATATGTATAACACCTAGTTTAGTATAAATAATTCTTAACAATGAACTTCCTTACATAATCTATTGCGTTATTTTTAAAAACAGTCATTACGATCCGCTGACTTTCAGTCACAGTTAAATGTAATGAGTAAAATGTGACATTTAAAACATGTAACAATCAAATTATCGTCTGAAGTCCTTAAATGCTAGAACTGCAATGACTCAGATTAATTTAACTACAGAATAGACAAGATCAAGAAACTTTAGCGATTTCTGAATAATTATTGGTTTTATTGTATTAATACTGTGTTAAATCACTAGACATAAACTTCACTGTTGTTCACTCTTATGATATTGTGCTCAACTGTCTTCCTTTAACTGATCTTGAAACCGGCAATCGCCCCACAGGGGCTCCCGGCGGAGTTTTTAATAAACATAGTACTCATTAAATGTTAAGTTACAGAAAGTTATGAACTATGGAAAGTTTTTTAAAACGGAACTATCACTCCGTTTTTTTACGTAAATATCAAGTGTAGTAGATAGTCAGCTATGATTTCAGAAAAATCATAACTACAACGTTTACAACTCACCGATTAAATGATCAAGAAAACATGATGGCTTTTGTTTATACTGACAACGATATTTTTAAAGCTAACTTGATGATT